GTTATGTCTATACAGTCAGGTCTTGTATCTGCAGTGCCCATCACATGTCTGAGTAAGAAATCTTGATGAATGTAGCTGAAATATGTGTGTGGGTTGCCATGACAACAGTAGAAGAGCGTCTGAGATCGTTATAGTTTTTCTATTTGTTTTCTTTCTTTGGTACTCATGTTTATGTGTTATATACTTGTGCACTTTGTGAAAAGAAGTAAGTGGCTGGGATGGATGTCATATTGATAGCATCTTACCTGTTTCTAGTTTTCACGGTGCGCCGTGATTGTGAGAGGAATAAAAAGGAATTGTGGACGTGAAGCGTGAATTCTTTTGACCAGAGTAGATACACAAAGCAACAGGAAGTGAACTTGTTCCATAAAACAGGTTGAACAGATGTGCAGAGACAACGCCCCACTCTGTTTGTGAATTTAGATCATCTTGGTCTGATTAATAAAAGGTCGTGACCTCCTGTACAAACACAAAACAGAAAAAAGGACAAGACTCTACAGGCCTCAGTGATCAGGGAAAATCTTGAAGTTCATGACACAATTAGAAAAAGACTGCAAGCTGCACTACATGAGAGAAATCTCCATTGGCAGGTAAGATCAAGATCACTATTTTACATCTTTATAGTGAAAAAAAGAATATAAACAATACTTGTGTGTGCACGAATATGTTAAGAAGTATATTTGATTGTTTGTTCTACTTTTTAAAATTTATTTATACAGTAAAACTGTTAATTTTCATTTGTTGCCTCAAGGCCACACTGTGCAGTTAGCCTAATTTTTTTCAGGCGATATAATGCATTTGCATACGTGTGTAGAGATGTGTTTGTGTGCATTTATATGATCAAAGTCAATGTTTTTTATGTCACAATCTACCGGTTCCCACTGTTTCAATTCCTTGGAATTTTTTGCCTTTTTTGCAAACGATTCCCTTATCGACTCCAGTCGCCCCGAATGACGTCACCACGTCACGGAGCGTCATTTACCTGGCAGGAAACTTGGCACCTAACGCTCAAAAGTTTGATTATACTTTATGAGAACAGATGACAACAGGGCAACTTGCAATACTTGCAAAGTAGATATTTCATTTAAGGGAGGAAACACTACGAATATGCAAAAGCATTTGCTCACAAAACACGCGATGACCTTAAATGAATGTCGTGTTTTTAATTCTCGTGAATCTCAACCAT